GATTTTATCTTTCCATACAAACCCTAATTACTAGCATTTATATGAAAGCGATAAATTGCGGAAAGTAAATTTACTATGCTATTACATCATTTGGGGATGGGGTATACAAATTTACAAATGTGGATTGCAAGAAATTAAACCTAATTATCTATTACAACCATATTGAATTGAATAATGCACAAAAAATGAATAAATATAATGTGCAAGGATGTAAATGGAAAAGAGATGGATTTTTGTTTGGTTTTTGTTAAGAAAGAGCATTGGTTTTAACCTAATTATCTAAAAGAAAAATAAATAATAAAAATAATAAAATTAAACCTAAGTTAATTAAGAAAAGAAATTAAATTTAATCAAGAAAGCATCATTAGGTTTTTTTTAGAAAAGGTTTTAAGTTTAATCCAAATAGTATGGAAATTAATTAATTAAAAGAAAACCTAAATTCTAAGTTAATTTTAATTAAAAAAGAAAAATAACTAAACCTAAATCTAATTACTAATTTATTAAGAAAAAGAATTAAATTTATTTAAGAAAATATTTTTGTCTTTTTTAGTTTAAAAAAGGAAATAAAAATAAGAGAATATAAGTATATTAGATATATAAATAAATAAACTATTTTTTTGGATTTTTATTAATAGAAATAATAATAATAACAATAATAATAATAATAATAAAAATAATAAAGAAAAAATAAAATAAAATAAAATAAAATATAAAAATAAAAGTCATGGGGGGTGAGAATGACATTTAGGGTGTTTGGAAGATAAAACAGTTTTTTGTTTGAAGCCTGACCCAAGTTTGATTTTGTTTGGAAATCAGAAAAAAGAATAAAACAAGATAAATGGGTTGTGTTGTCACAAGGAAACAGGAGGTCAGAACAAGCAAAAATGCTAAAGCCTAATGTGGAGGCCCAAGCGCGCTGGCTACTTGCAAAAACAAAGGAAAATATGAAGAAAAAAAAGGCAGTGTTGGGGCTTGAACCCATGACCTTGACCATAAACGTGCGCTGCCTTACCACTGGGGTGGCTATACATCCGTTAACTTAAACAAAACCATAAATATATAACACAAATTCATTCCTAGAAATGCATTTTGTTGCACCCCAAAATTTTCCCTCCTAGTTTCTTATAATTGGCTTAGGCTTAGCATTGCATTCATATCTTTTCATTAGGTCATTAACATACATTTGCATTCAATAAAGCTCTTGAGGTTCAAAGTTCAGCGGTTGTGCGATATTAGGGTTTCGCAACGGTTAAGGTGTCCGTGTCCAATAAAGCCTGATTCTTCTGATCATCCTTCAAGCAGTGAAATATGGAATTAGGATTGCAACCTATGTTTATTGAGGGTTCTGTTCTCTTCAAGTTAAGGGGGTTATTACTCATTCAGATACGTTCAAGACAAGAGTCAGAGTGTTTCTCCACCAAGTTTGTGGTTGTCAGCATTTCATCAACCGAGGTTCATTAGGTTTTCTAAGTCATGGCCAGCTTAGTCATATTTCTTTCTGTATCCCCATGTTCATTTCCAAGTTTTTCTAAGAGACCATCTAAAGGGATACTAAATCAGGCATTCATTATCTCCTTGTGCTCAACGTCATCCTTTGATTAGGGTTTATTTCTCTAAATCATGTACCATTCAAGAGAGGTTTCTCTGGGAAGTTGTGATTATCAGGCAAGGCTATCATCAGGGGATATCATCCATGGATAATCAGGGTTTCAATTGATATATCTTTGAAAAATAAGAAGGAAATCATTGCTTGAATCTCTAGTCATGTGAGCAACAACTCTATTCTAGAAAAGAAGATTCAGTTGGACCTTCTTCACAAATTAGGGTTCGTATGCCTTATAATGCAAAGCTCTTCATCTGGTCGATTGACTTACTTGCGATATAATCTATGTTGTTCGGATTTCATTTCAATGCTTTGAAGATAAAAATCTAAAAGCTTTGTGTGGAAGTTTAGGATTTATATCCTATCATACTTAGGTTTATCAACATCTCCAATGGAGGTTCATGAGATGATAAGGCATGATATAAGGATGGCATTGTAAATTCGTTAAGACCAAGGCAGTTTGGTTATCTTATTATTTGTTATACAAGGTTGATGGGGATCAACATCTTGGACCCATTCTCTCACGAAGGACATAGGGTGATGTTAGGGGCCATTTGGTTCATGGTCATCAATTGAAGATTGGGCTCACTTCATGACTTATGATATAAGTATTGGCTTTAGGGTTCATTCAGGAAGGTGGAATTTTGATCACGGAGTTTGCTTTAGATTATTTCAAGAGAAATATCATGTGAATTCAATTTTTGTTCAAGAATTGGATTAAGGTTCATTTACCAAGCATGCAAGGTTAGAAAAGGATTCATATGGATTTCTTGAGAAACAAGTTATTTGGAATTTAGAGAAAATATCAAGTTTATGCATGTACAAGGGCGTTCAAGAATTATTCAAGGCTATTTCAAATTTCAAGATCATAAGTCCAAATTTCATTCACTGTTCAAGTGACCATAATGCAATATCATTCAAGATTTTCAAGCATTTTTAAGACGAAATTTTAAGTAGAAATTCCAAAAGTATGGGTATCACGACTCAAGTTTGCTTAACATGTGAATTTCAATATTTTTAAGAACTAATTCAAGATGTGAGGCCTTTTCGAGTTATCATCGTTACACATTCAAATTTTCAAAACAGTTTCATTCACAGTCGCCCGTGGAAGCCTTGAACAAAAAGAAAAAAGAACATTACAAAAGCAAAAGCATGGCTAGCTCTAAGTTCTAAGCCTAAATAGAATCTTCCTGAGTCAATTCTTGAGTGCAGACTTTTCTTTGCGTTCAAAGCTCTACCATACTTGCAAAGCTAGCCATAAATTCCTGCATAAAAAGAAAAGCACACAATACATCAATTTCAAAGGATGTTTTACAACAAAGAAGGGTGAAATCTCTGAGCTCAAAGAAGAGCTTAATTCCCAGTACAAGGATAAGAGAAAATATGCAGTTAAAAAAGTGATTGCTGCTATGACTGTTGGAAAGGATGTTTCGTCATTGTTCACAGACGTGGTGAATTGTATGCAGACAAAAAATTGCACCCCAAAATTTGCCCTCCTAGTTTCTTATATTTGTATTAGGCTTAGCATTGCATTCATATCTTTTCATTAGGTCATTAACATACATTTGCATTCAATAAAGCGCTTGAGGTTCAAAGTTCAGCAGCTGCGTGATATTAGGGTTTCGCAACAGTTAAGGTGTTCGTGTCCAATAAAGCCTGATTCTTCTGATCATCCTTCAAGCAGTGAAATGTGGAATTAGGATTGCAACCTTTGTTTATTGAGGGTTCTGTTCTCTTCAAGTTAAGGGGGTTATTACTCATTCAGATACATTCAAGACAAGAGTCAGAGTGTTTCTCCACCAAGTTTGTGCTTGTCAGCATTTCATCAACCGAGGTTCATTAGGTTTTCTAAGTCATGGCCAGCTTGATCATATTTCTTTCTGTATCCCCATGTTCATTTCCAAGGTTTTCTATGAGATCATCTAAAGGGCTACTAAATCAAGAATTCATTATCTCCTTGTGCTCAACGTCATCCTTTGATTAGGGTTTATTTCTCTAAATCATGTACCATTCAAGAGAGGTTTCTCTGGGAAGTTGTGATTATCAGACAAGGCTATCATCAGGGGATATCGTCCATGGATAACCAGGGTTTCAATTGATATATCTTTGAAAAATAAGAAGGAAATCATTGCTTGAATCTCTAGTCATGTGAGCAACAACTCTATTCTAGAAAAGAAGATTCAGTTGGACCTTCTTCACAAATCAGGGTTCGTATGCCTTATAATGCAAAGCTCTTCATCTGGTCGATTGGCTTACTTGCAATATAATCTATGTTGTTCGGATTTCATTTCAATGCTTTGAAGATCAAAATCTAAAAGCTTTGTGTGGAAGTTTAGGATTTATATCCCATCATACTTAGGTTTATCAACATCTCCAATGGAGGTTCATGAGATGATAAGGTGTGATATAAGGATGTCATTGTAAATTCATTAAGACCAAGGAAGTTTGGTTCTCTTATTGTTTGTTATACAAGGTTGATGGGGATCAACGTGTTGTACCCATTCTCTCACGAAGGACATAGGGTGATGTTAGGGGCCATTTGGTTCATGGTCATCAATTGAAGATTGGGCTCACTTCATGACTTATGATACAAGTCATTTGCTTTAGGGTTCATTCAGGAAGGTGGAATTCTGATCACGGAGTTTGCTTTAGATTATTTCAAGAGAAATATCATGTGAATTCAAGTTTTGTTCAAGAATTGGATTAATCTTCATTTACCAAGCACGCAAGGTTAGAAAAGGATTCATGTGGATTTCTTGAGAAACAAGTTATTTGGAATTTAGAGCAAATATCAAGTTTATGCATGTACAAGGGCGTTCAAGAATTATTCAAGGCTATTTCAAATTTCAATATCACAAATCCAAATTTCATTCACCGTTCAAGTGACCATAATGCAATATCATTCAAGGTTTTCAAGCATTTTTAAGACGAAATTTTAAGTAGAAATTCCAAAAGTATGGGTATCACGACTCAAGTTTGCTTAACATGTGAATTTCAATATTTTTAAGAACCAATTCAAGATGTGAGGCCTTTTCGAGTTATCGTACGTTACACATTCAAATTTTCAAAACAGTTTCATTCACAATCACCCGTGGAAGCCTTGAACAAAAAGAAAAAAGAACATTACAAAAGCAAAAACATGGCTAGCTCTAAGTTCTAAGCCTAAATAGAATCTTCCTGAGTCAATTCTTGAGTGCAGACTTTTCTTTGCGTTCAAAGCTCTACCATACTTGCAAAGCTAGCCATAAAGTCCTGCATAAAAAGAAAAGTACACAGTACATCAATTTCAAAGGATGTTATACAACAAAGAAGGGTGAAATCCCTGAGCTCAAAGAAGAGATTAATTCTCAGTACAAGGATAAGAGAAAAGATGCAGTGAAAAAAAGTGATTGCTGCTATGACTGTTGGAAAGGATGTTTCGTCGTTGTTCACAGACGTGGTGAATTGTATGCAGACAGAAAATTTGGAGCTGAAAAAGTTAGTCTATTTATATTTGATAAATTATGCAAAGAGCCAGCCTGACCTTGCTATAATCGCAGTAAATACATTTGTGAAGGATTCTCAAGATCCAAATCCTTTAATTCGTTCCTTAGCTGTGCGGACAATGGGTTGCATTCGTGTGGATAAAATTACCGACAAACTAACTGTATAGGATGATAACAGAGTATAAAAGAAGGAGAGGTGGAAACTCAGAGGGAAAATGATAACTAACCAAAATTTCTCTTCAAATTGCTCGAAGCTTCTCCCACAAGGACTCTCGATTCTTTCCAACGATTCTTCATCAAACCTGCATTCTCTTTATCATTTCGCTTCAACCTGCACCTTCTTCTTCCACCACAACACCATCATTCTTCAACTTCTACAATGCCTTTAATTGTCAACTTTTCTTTTTCTGTTTCATCATCATCAACAGTTAGCAACTCGGCTTCAAGCTTCAACCAAAACACAGCTACGCATACGCAATCAAGAACAACGATAAGGCACAAAGAAACAGACGCACGAAAAAGAGAAGAAGAAGAAATTAGTGAAAAATTTACCTCTGGATTTCTCATCTTTGCAATAGTGTTGAAGAACTACCAAACTCATCTCCAGTAGGTAACGCCTTATAATCTCTTCCATTATTGTATAATGTGTTTTGTTGTTCTATTGGATCGATGAGGTTAAATCGCAAGCGAATCGAAGGTGAGGACAAACGAAATCGAAGGGAGATCTGGGGGGATGAGGCCAGAATGAAGCTCTTGATAGTGACAATTGATGATGTGAGGCGGTGTGATAGCAACGACGGCAGTGGTGAGGAATAGGGAAAAGAATGAACGAAGAGCAGAGAGGGAAGGACTTTGTGTTCTAGTGGAGTTCATGAGTCACAATTCAAACATAAACGCCAAAACGTCGTCGATTCCTCAATTTTTATTTTCTTTACTTTTTGTTTTAATCTAATTAAGTCCTTTCAATAATGCTGAATAATAATCTGAATGGATTTGGAATGTTGTTGGGCTAAGACGCGTTGGGCCGGCACCTTCATTCTAGCCCGTTCGTTTTTTGGGGCAGCTAAGAAAGCTGTAAAAAAAACCTGCTTGTGGACCAGTTCCGATTTGGGCTTAGAGTTGTTTCACTTACTGTATCTCCTATTCCCAGATTGCACCCCCTGGGTTGTTTCTTACTATTTGCAATTTCTTTTGAATAATTTTGATTATAGCTTAGACTTTTTTTAATTTTCTTCACAAATATAAAAATAATAAAAATCAGTAAAATTTATTAGATTTTTTTCTTATTTTGATTTTTAGGAATTAATTCGTGGTTATCCGATTATTCGAAATTCATGATTCACCTTTGCTTTGTTGAGATTTAAATCTTGTGCAGGTTTATTATGCGATATGCGGATACGCTTGAAATTTCGATTGTGATTTATTTTCACATCGATGATGCTTCAACAATTATTCCGAGTATTGGATTTCTAACTTTTTTCTTTGTTGATGCTAGCAGCTCGCGAGATCATCGGGTTTCTTTGCTTTTTGCTTTGCTCTACGGGCTAGTACTCGTTTGGCATTTTTTCTTTCTATTTTCACCCTGCATTTATCGCTTCCCATAGATCATATGAAGTATGATAACATTAGGTGTAGAAATAGGCTAGTTTCCCCTTGATTTTTCTTTTTTCCGCATATAAATTTAAAAACAAAAACTTCTTATTTTTTCTCGCAAACTTAAAAAAAAAATACTTAAAAATTACTAACGAGAATTGTGCCTTTGTTGAACATGGGAGATGGTAAGCGGATCTCTTCTCGATCTTATCATTTTTCCATTCTAATCTTTGGCATGGTTCAAATCTCAAAGAATCATTTCATGAATAAGTAGAGAAATGGCTAAAATCTCTCCCTTGAGATTAACTAGTTGTTATCTATAAGCAAAAACAACAACAAATATAAACTCCTTTTGCCTTCGGGCCTTTCTTTCAAAAACCTTTCAAAAAGAACAAGTTAATTCACTTCTGTGCTGACGCGTAAGTCTCCAAAGGTTGAGTTGCGGCAGAAGGCGAAATTAATATTGTTCATTAAAAAATACAAACCAACAAAAACACATTAGCCGAACTACGGCTGCTCTGATTCCTTAAAAGGGATACGTAGGCATCGGGGTAGGGCCCGAACGAGCACAACTTTTATTTTCCCTACATTCTTTTCTCTTTTCTTTTGCATGCATTCTCCCCTTAGCAATAATAAACAGTAAGCATAGATTAAACACACCCATAAGATAGATAACAAGAGTGGATACCGTAGAGTACTACGGGCGTGTGGGGTGCTAATACCTTCCCCTTGTGTAACAGACTCCCTTACCCTTATCTCTCGTTCGCAAGACCGTGACTTCTCCCTTCTCAGGTTTTCTTGATGTTTACCTTTCCCTTCCTGTGGGATAAAAGACGTTCAATGGCGACTTCATTGTTTGATGGTTTTTAGCCGGTTGTTTCAGCTGGCGACTTCACTGGGGAAAGGTCGACCAAATGCTGGTCCATCCTGGAGTCGGTCCTAGCTCTTATTTTCTTTTCTTTGGGTGTTTATTTTTACACTTTTAGTTTACTCAGTTGTACATATTTATCTTAGCATATGTTTTCATCACACTTTACTGTCTTCCATATACTGCTGTTGTATTGGATCTGCTTCTTGCTTGGGTGGGGATGTTACTATTGAGGTAAAAGGCCCAGTACTAAGGCCAGAGTGTACTAGGATACCTAGGAATAGAGTGGGGGCATGACGGCTATAGGACGTGGTTCGATTAGTGCAGTCATATCATATACCACGCTCGGATGAGGTTCAATTGGAGGTACTTTCATCATGCACGTCTGTGTTGCGATGATTGTACTTTCAGGCGAACCCGTGATTTTCAAGTTACCATTATCTCACCCTGACCTAGTCTTCACCCGTGAGCGGGGAGGGATTTTTATCACAGGTACAATTGTTGACTATATTCAGACGGTTACTTTTGGTTATATCCTGGACTTCTGCCAATGATTATGAGTTTCTCAGAATTATTTTCTAAGAATCCAACTATGATCTTCATGAATTTCTTCCGGTTATGTTTCAGACCTGTAATCTCGGTATTAACAGAATGTGAAGAGGCAGTACAACAGGAATCAGTATCATGGAAGTAGTAACCCCATGATCATTTGCACACATATCATAGCATATTTACTTTTCAAATATATATATATATATATATATATATATATATATATATATATATATATATATATATATATATCAATAATTAATTCGCATGCGCGTTGTTATTTCCAGGATCTCTCCAGGGTTTCCTTTTCCTCTAAAGAATGGAAAACAACATTGATATCATCCTAAAGACAAAGAGGGATAACTTCAGCTATCAGTTTCGTCCTAGTATTTGGCCCTCTCTTGAAGAGCTCAGAGACCTCATGAATTGTCAACAAATTGGCGTTTTTGGTGAAAGATATGGGAATCTCCTATCTTTATTGGATGCTCGGGTTGACGACAAGGCTGTACAGACTTTGTTACAATTTTTTGATCCAGAGTTGTGTTGCTTCACATTTCAAGACTACCAGTTAGCATCTACTCTTGAGGAGTATGCTCATCTTCTCCACATTAAGCTCACCAGTCATGTTCCATTTATTCGAGTCCCTATTGAACCTGACTTTGAGGCTATTGCTAAGGTTCTTTATTTGAGCCTTAAAAATGTAAAGGGGAAATGGAGACGTAACAAAGTCACTTGTGGTCTTCCTATAGATTTCTTGGCAAGTAAGGCTAAGGAAATCATGAACATGGGAAATTGGGATGCTTATTATGCTCTGTTGGATGCCATAATTTACGGAGTTATCTTATTCCCTGAGATTAAAGAAATCATAGACTTGGCTTCTCTTTGCGTCTTCATGAATAAGAATCCTATACCCACGCTATTAGCAGATACTTACCACGCCATCCACTCCAGACATGGGAAGAAAGGAGTAGTGGTATGCTGTACACTCATGCTTTACAAATGGTTCATGGCACAGTTACCCACCAAAGGGCCATTCAAAGAAGATCCTCGTTCGTGGGCATCCAAAGTGATGACACTCATATCTTTCTATATCCAATGGTACAAACTTAAGGTGGATAGCTCCGAAGTCATCTCTCACTGTGCAGGTTTCTCTAATGTTCCGATCATGGGAACAAAAGGGGTTATCAACTACAATCCAGTACTCTCTCTTCGCCAATTAGGTTATGCCATGAAGCTTCCACCCAAGACCAAGGAGGTCGAACCTATGTTTTTCAAAAAAGGAGAAGACCCAGAATTGCTAAAGAAAGTAGAGATTGCTTGGGCACATGTTGGAAGGAAAGGAAAAGAATTCTTCGGGCCAAAAGAGGTATTAGCTTTCGATCCTTACGTGGATTGGTTGAAGGAAAGGGTCAAAACTCTTATGTTGCCTTTTGAAAAGGAAATCTCCTTGTATCTTCAACCCACTGAGTTACAACACGATGTGCCTAAAGAACGCTTCTATCAAGTACAATTGGAGAATATGGACCTTCGCCAGAATTTGAAAGACAAAAAATGGAAATATATTTCTTAACAGAAAAGAAAAGGGACTTGGCCCGTCAGTTAAAGGAGTGTGAAGGGGAAAGTAGTTCCAAGAAACGACCCAGAACTGAAGACTCTTTTGTTTTTACGGAAGAATATCAGATAGCTCTCGCCGATGCAGAAAGGAATCGTCAAGAAACGTTGAAATTTAAGATGGCCAACAATAGGAACAAAGCCAAGTCGGGGAATTGGGAAACCAATTCAAAATTGCTAGGATGGAGTTGGAAGCAAAAGAAGATCAAATGACCAAAGTGTTGAAAGAGAATGCAAGACTCCAAGACAAGATCAAGGAGATGGAAGAGGCACCTGTGCCTATACCTTTACCAAAATGTAAAGAATGTGATCACTTCCTAGAGCAATGTGTGTACTTGGAGGGACAACTATATCGGAAAGATGTGGTGATCGATAGCTTCACTCGTGGACGAGATCGTGAAAAGACAAAGAAATTATTTGAAGAAACCAAAGAATGGAGTGAGGAGTACTTCCGGCAAGGAGGACCTTTGTACTACACAGAGATTAGAGACCCCCCCCCCCCCCCCCCCCGTTGATTATATTGTTCTCCCCTTTTATTTTATT